ACAATCATAGATTCTTTTGTTGTAATTGAATAACACAAAACTTTTAATGACTTTATAAAAGTATGAATCCAATAACTCAAGATTTATGAAGATTTTAGATTACTTTTTACAAATTTTAAACTAATAACACCAAACTTTAAAAACCTTTTAAAAAATCTTGATTGAATAACAACAGATTCTACATAACATTTAAAGTCACTAAAACTCTATTTAAATCACAAACCAATAACATCCCTTTATTCTGAAGTCCAAGATCCTTTGATATTTTTATTTCAACTCCAATCAAATGATGATGTTTTAGTGACGGTTGAGGGGGATAATAAGGAGCATTATGTACAGAAGTATATCTACAAATTAAACTCAGGGTTATATATGTATAGTGGGTTAACGTGGGTCATTAACAGACCCATAAAACTAATTAGTGTCGGTTTACAAACCGACTTAGAGCAGCTCCATTGGATAGATGCCCACAGCCCACTTGGGTATCTCGAAAATAAAATTATACTAATATTTTTTAATATTATTTAGTTATTTAGTTAATTTTTAATTAGTTAAACCTTACATAAGAATTATAGATATCAATTTCATAAAAACACTATGTTTCTTTCCTGACACATCAACTTTTTGGAGTGTTGTGAGTATGAGACATCATTAAAATCATCATCCAATGATAATATTTAGATTAATACACATCAGATTTTTTGGCCAATAATCATCCTTCCCTTAAAAGTTGTTGACAAAAAAAAAAAAAAATTATCCTTCCTGCTTTTCTTAATGTTGTCTCATTTGTTCTTGGGCTCTAACATATGGACTTAATGTTTTAGAATAGGGTTTACTTGTAATGTTTACTATTGGATAAAACTGGATACAAATCGAATTGGATAAAAATTACAATAAAATATTATCAGATTTATTAAGCGTTATCCTAGATCTTAATGAATAACTAAAAATCATTTGAGTAACGTTTTATACTCCTATAATAAAACAAAATTTTAATTTTCAAATTCTGAAAAACAAACAAGCAAAAATCTTAACCTTTTACGCCTCTTCAACAAATGAATCAAGTATGCATATGGAACATTAAAATCAAAGATGATCATTCTATATAACATATTCTCAAGTATCTAAGTCATGAGTTCTATACAGCTATGACATGTCCATATACATATAAGTCCGATCGAACCAAATATCATAACTTTTGTCAAAAAAATGAAAGCTCAACGATTGCATCGACGATACATTCAAATCGGAGAATACAAAACGGAAACTTGAGTAAAAAAAGAGATTTACTTGTGGGCACTGAATTCAGATTCCAATTACATCAATCGCTGAGAAGAAGACGTATGAGATTTAAAATTCGATTGCGGAATACCGCCATAGCTCCGCCGCACTCCGGCGATAGAAACTCTTTTAGACACATAGTGAACCACATCGTCTGTTGTTGGCTGCCATTAGTAAAAGTCTTTCAGATATGAAAGCAAAAGGTTTTTTTTTTTCTCACTGTTTAACTGTTTATCTAATCTATTTCTCTCCTTTGTTCATCTATTTTTCTTGAAAAAATGATCGTTAGAATTTTTTGGGATACAAATTTTATCTGAATAATAAATTGATTTACGATTTGGTCTCAGTTTAACATTCCAATTTGATTTGGTTCTTTTTTGCTTTCAAATTATTTTAAATTTTATATTTAGAAAAATAAGGATTTTCTATTGTAGTGGTGAACCTTTACATGAAAAGGTATATTAATTCGCCTCACCAAAATCAATACATAGAAAAATATATTTTCCTTTGTAAAAGAGATTAGCCCTGTTTAAAATATATAGATATTTAACTATTTAATATACCTATCAAACTCCTTTGACAGTTATTCAGTGGTTAGAGAGTTTGTCTCAACATATGTAATAATAATCTATTCATAGTATAGATAGCATAATTGTTTTTGACAGAATTATAAGTGTCGACAATCACTTATAAAGTTTCGACAATCACTCACACAGTTTCGACAATCACTTCCCCGAATGTCACCCATCCTGAAACTACTCCAGCCCAAGCACGCTTAACTGTGGAGTTCTCTTAGGACGGTTGACCGAAAAGATAAGTGCACTTTGGTGACATAGGTGGCCAAATCAATTCTTATAAACCTCTCCGCATGTACCACCATATTCCTCAAACCGGGGTGTTACACTATTATGTAGGAGTTTATATCAACAAACAAACAAATTATCTGTGAGTGTATATTAACAATTTATTTTGTAAAAGTAATAGATAAAATATATGTTTATTGATGTTTACATACATAAATAATAGTAAAGTAAAAAAAAATACTAAAATATGAGCAAATAGAAGATATCAAATTTTAAAAACCTTTAAAAAAATTTAATCATATTTATATTGAAACAAATGTCATCCACATCATTAGCATGTAATAATTTAAGATTTTTCTATAATAATATCTAATAATTATATTTTATGTATTTTTTCATATTTTGTAACCTTCATACTAATAATTATCGTTATGTTGTTAATACTCACACTAAATTACAACAATATTTTAAATACAATTAATACAAAATGAATTCTACACAATGAATTATTTGAAATGTAACAATTTTTATGATATATATACAATTGACTTACTCATAAATGACATTTAAACATAATTGGTAAAGTTGAATAGTTGTAAAACGTAAATATGTTGTCTTCTATAAATAGAAATATACATATATCTCTAACCATCATATTCCAAATTTCATAATATTGATAAATTTTATAACACTTTCTTTTATAGTCTGACTAATAGTGTTTCAATATTACATTTTTTCAATTTTGTAAGAAACTGTGAAGAGGAGATGACATGTAACCAAAAAACTTTACTCACAATCAATTGTATCTGCTATTTCATAGGTCTTTTAAAATGAGCAAGTAGAGAAACCTGAAGTTTGTAATGCAACAAGAGAAGATATACTAAGTTGATTTTCTTTGTCCAAAACAATCAATCTATATAACATTTGGTTATGATAATTTCATTAAGTATAAAATAATAGAAAATTTGTTGTATTACCATTATATTTAAATTCTTTAAAATGCTACAATAACTTTTAAAATTGGATAAATTTAGAATATCAACTTTACTATTAAAATATAAATTATAAATTGAAAATGATTTAACTTAAATTTTCATAGTAGGGTTTGATATTTTCACATTTTAACAAAATAAGTATTATTTATGTATACATATTATTTTACTATAATTGTTATCATCAACACTTTTAAAATTTTTCATTGGCATCAAATATTGTATTGATTAAAAGCAGTAATATACTCTTAATTATTTTTTAAAAAACATAAATTTCATTGTATATAGATGAATACAATTCAAATTTTATAGAAAAAATTAAATTTGAATTTACTGTCATTCATTTATTTATTTTTCTTTAAATTTTAAATTCAAACAAAAAAACTAAATAAAATAAATAGCAAACATATAACATAGTATGCAACACATAACATAAAGTATTTTCTAAATTATTTTGTAAATAACAAAGTAAATACATTTCCTCTGAAATCATATGAATTGTAATAAAAAGCTTTTGAAAAAAAATTCCAAAGATTACTTTCATTGTTTAATATCTTTTTATATTCCCCCTAATTTAACTTATATTTCTAGGTTCAATTCTAATGATTTCGTCATTGCACTACAAGGTAGATTGGAAATAGAATATCAAATTTTTTTCTATATATAGAAAAATCCTTACACTATAAAATTTGAATTAAATTAAATTTTTAATGATCTTTATATAATTATATGTTGAATAAAAAAAAACTAAATATAATGATGTGTATACTACAAAAATTATTACAATTTTTCTGTAGGTAAGAGAAAGTTAAGGAAAATTAATTTGATAATTTTATTACAAAAAATTATTTCGTTAAAATATTACATACTTTTAAAAATAAAATAAATATACATGAATATGTAAAAAATAATCAAACATTCAAAGTAAAAAAAAAGATAGTTTCTTTAGCTTGATTCCCTTATTGTGCGATCGTCGGAATTAATATTTTTGAATCTGCATCAATAATGTAATTTTATCATAGCCATCAAAATTATAATAATATACATATGTAGTTTTAAATTAAAAATTATTATAAAAATGAAAAGAAGGAAGGAAGAAGTACATGGAAACAAAGAAGAAATAAAATTAAAAAGAATGTAATATATATATTAAACAAAATATATAATAAACTCTTACAATGATATCTTAATTGAGTTTTCAACCCATGCAAGAACATAAACAAAACAAAGAGAATATTTAGGATTTGAAACATGGTGGAGGAGGATGTGAGAATGATTATTTATTGGAAAAGAAGTGATGGAAGTTACATTTCTAAACTAATTAGATTATAGGGGTTACAATAATAATTATAGTGTGATTGAATGACAATGAATAGAGAAAAAAATAGTCAATTCACAATTATGTAATTTCTGTTACAATTGAAAAGTAAAGTGTGGATTTAAAGTATGGATTAATGTATATAATTAAATGTGTTACATTTAAAATTTAATTAAAAATAAATATTATATTTTTAAAAATAGATTGACAAGTGGACCAGTTAAGAGAGAGTGAAACCCTTCTTTTATATGTATGATTTACAATTAATGTTTGAAGATTTTTACAACACTTTTTAATATAAAATTTTTGTATAGATTAGTATTGTACAAATCCAAAATAAAAAAATTAAATATTTACTATTAATATAAATGCCATTGTTTTTTTGTTTGATGCTTTTACACATTTTCATTAATAATTATGTCACATAGATAGAAATGCACTAAAGTTAAATAAATAGATAAAAAAAAAAAAGACAAAAGACACTAGCTTCTATAAAAAGAAAAGAAAAGTAAAGCACCCTTGGCTATTGCAAAACATTACTCCATATCTCCATAGACCATACCTTCTACATATATATATATATATATATATATATAGCTTCACCATCCTTTGAACATTTCATAATCAAAATCTCAAACATTGCCAAGGAATTGAAATATAATTATATATACAAAGTCACTAAGGTTACTAGATATGAAGTTCATCACATTAGTATTCATCGCTTTCTTTCTATCGTCTCTGGTTCTGATCAAAGGGGAAGAGGAGAACGCATCATGCGTTCTGGAAGATCTTCAAATATGCAAAACAGCGGTAACAACCGGAAAGCCACCGTCGACAGAATGTTGCGATAAACTAAAAGAACAACAAACGTGTTTTTGTGATTACTTAAAAGATCCAAGGGTTAGTCGATATATTACAGTTGCCAAACAAATCTTAGCGGCTTGTGGTATACCGTTTCCTAGTTGTAATTAAAGTTTCAAATAGTTATAACATAATCTATAAATGTTAGAATTATAAAAATTATATTTGATAATGTTAATCATGTCAAGGTTATTAACCTGATTCAATAAAGTGTTCGTTTCTATCCATGCTCAAAATTCAATAACTACTCATCTCTTCCTCTTCATTAAAGAATGATTTTTCTGTCTGATTTCTCTCATATTAACAAGGATTTGATTTCTTAACCTTAAAAACACAAAAAAATTGATCTTTCGTTTCTTCTTTTCATTACTAAATAGATATCACTTTACAAGATTTTGGATTTTATATTAGACGTGACACAATGTTTAAATTAAACCCAACATATAAGATGATTTATGTTAATTATCATTGTGATTGTGGTTTGTGAGGCTGTTATAAGTTATAACTCTTTTTTAAAAAATAACAACTCATTTGTCTCTAATGGATAAGCATTAACCAATGTGGGTTGGGCTAGTGGTACTTGAGGGGGTAATCCCAATATGGTGCCCGCAGTTCGATTCCCGTTGGCCACCGAGGTTTTCACCTGGCCCCCTCGGGCCTCCAGGAAACACACTGAGCGTTGGGCTCAGACGGCCCGACAGGGATCCGGCCTCAAGCCTTGGTGCTAGTCGGGCTTCGGTCCGGATACCTGGATTATCAAAAAAAAAAAAAATGGATAAGCATTTAAACGCAGCGTTTTATTATTAACATACGTCATTGTCTCATGCAAATGACATAAGCTGAAGAGGAAAAATCTTGATTCCTCCGTCAAGGCAAAACCACATAAAGCCTAGCCCCTGCCGCGAAACAACCGTTTAAACCACCAATTCTCTCATCCGTACCAAAGAAAATGGCGGTTCATATTCACAACCCTAACTTTTTCAACACTCATCATCTCCGATCATCTCTTACTTCTCCTTCTCCTTCACCTTCCTCATATCTCTTTCATAGACACTCTGCTTCAAAATATCCAAACTTCCTCTGCAAATCCAATAACAAAGATGTATCCTTTCTTCTTACAACTTCTAACAAAAATCTTGAGAGCTATAACTGAATGGTTTCTTTTACTAACAGGACTATCTCATTGATGCTCCTGTTTCTGTTGGAGATGGATTCTCTTTTAGTGAAGGTAATCAAAAGATTTTACCCATTTTTTGTATATGATTAAGAAGACTAAATCCATCCGTGGTCTAGTGGCAGATGAAGCTTTGGGAAAGGGTGAAACTCCCAAACCTGAGTTCGATTCTTCCTGGAAACAAAAACACATTTGTTTGGGAAGTCTGTCAGTTGGGCCTTGGCCCAATTGGTTTACCTGGTAGCTAGAAATGCAGGCGGCCTGACTACCCCTCGCACTTAGTCGGAAGGCATTCCAAACTCGGGATAGGCAGAGTGGTAGTCCGTAAGGGCCTAACCGTTAACACGGTGGACCAGTCCACTATGTAGCACCTTGGTGCGTTCCTACCGGGGCCGACCGGATAGCCGATAGGGTTTATCAAAAAAAAAAAGACTAAATCTTGTTTATTTTCGCAGGGAAGTATTCGGATCAACCGAGTCCATCAAATGTATCTACACTCTTTTTCTTTTTCTCTTTTTTTTTTCTAATATGAAGTCTTTATGTGAGAGACCCCATGGAGCTGCTCTTATTATCGTCCGGTGCAAGCTGATTTAACTTTGCTTTAAAATCTGACGTTAACTAACATAGTTTTGTCATTATTTTAGTGTCGGTTAAAACGGTGTAACTCAAAGACTCAAAACTTAAATATTTGATTAGTAACTTACGTACGTCGGTTATATATATATAGGGAAAATCACATTTTTAACCCTCAAAGTGTAACTGGGAAGCACTTTAAACCTCGAAAGAATTCTACTAACACTATAAACCACCAAGATTGTTTTACTCACACTTTAAACCTCCAAACTAACTTTTCTGTTTGCAAAGCTATAAAAAATGATGGAACAATCAATTTATATTTGTTTAATATATATTTATTTAATTTAATTTAAATTTTAATTAATTTTATTATTTAATACAATTAATAAAAATCTATAAAAACAAAAAAAAACTTTATTTTCTTCGTTTAGTCACTTTCCGACCATGAAATTTCTTGATAAACTATTTGAAACAATCTTTTAGACTGATCCATAAGCGTCTTCACTCTCTCCACTAGATAAATTAGAATATCATAATACCAATTGAATAAAAAGATGGTGAACACATACAATAAACTGAATAAAATTTTGAAAAATTGTGTTCGGACGTTGAATAGTCGAAGATGATAATTTTTATTTTTTATTTTTTTTATTTATCGTAAAAATTGTAATAAATAATAAAATTAATTAAAATTTAAATTAAATAAAATAAATATATGTTAAACAAACATAAATTGATTTTTCCATCATTTTTTATGGCTTTGCAAACAGAAAAACTAGTTTAGAGGTTTAAAGTATTAGTAAAACAATCCTGGTGGTTTATAGTGTTAGTAGAATTCTTTCGAGGTTTAAAGTGCTACCCAGATACACTCTGAAGGTTAAAAATGTGATTTTCCCTATATATATATATCCGACTCCAAATTCCTTCTAATTTTTTCCTTAACGTCAAGTTGATGAATCGACTTATAAAAAGTGATGTTTCATGTAATATTAGATAAAAGTCCGCGCTACACGGCAGAATATTTTCTTATAAATAAAATATTTTTAATATAAATATGATTGGAAAAAATTTAGAAGACTTTTAAGATTTGAAATATTGCAGTTGCTCATATTTTAGTAGTTTTTAGTTTACTGTTATTTATGTATATAAACATTAACAAACATATATTATATACCGACGGCCGGTCCGCTACGTCCGGGAGGCTTTAAAGACTTGTTTACCGACCCTACAAATCACCACATGATCTTTCCCTGTGTTTTGTCCTCACTCACACAGTTCCAACAATCACTTTCCGGAAAGTCACACATCCTTAAGCTACTCCAGCTCAAGCACGCTTAACTGTACTTCTCTTATGACAGTTGACCGAAAAGATAAGTGCACTTTGTGACATAGGTGGCCAAATCAAATCTTTTTAAACCTCTCCGCATGCACCACCATATTCCTGAAACCGGGGTGTTACATATAAATTTGTTTGTTTGTTGATATAAACATCAACATAAATACATAATAGTTCAAATTCATATTATTTTGTAAGTGACAAACTAAATTTGTTTTTCTTATAAAAATCATATGAACTTCAATCTAGAGATTTTGTTTAAAGATTCCAAGAATACTAATGGTTTCATCTTTATAAGATTTAATAAAATAATTTTTGTTTTAATTATAGCTATTTTTTTTTCTATTTTTCAATCTATTTAAGTATGTGTGTTAAGCTTCATTCTAATGATTTCATTCTAATTTTCTATTCTAACCAAATTTAATTCCCTTGAAATATTTGATTTCATTTTTCTAATCTTAAGGACCAAATTCTTATAAAAAAGTTCTTTTTGTTTTCAAAAAACACTTAAACCTCAAATTTTAAATAAAGTAAACATTATAACGATCTTTATATAATTATATCTATTGGATCACAAAACTAATATAATGATACATATATTATAAATGAATTAAAAAATTTATTCGAGATAAGAAAGAGGTTAGAAAAATATATTTGATAAATGTATTAAAATAATTTATTTTATTAAATATTGCATAATTTAAAAAATATATTAATATGTTAGAAAATAATCAAACATCTAAAGTAGATAATGGAAATGAATCTTTTCGACTTCATTATTTTGTTGTGCGATGATTGGAATAGATATATTGAACTCTCCAATACCACTAAACCTGAAATTTTTTTATAACCATCAAAAATTTTATTTTACATATGTGAATTTAAATTAAATATATAAAAATTAAAGAAAAAATTAGCAGAATCTAGTATGGCTTTAGAAATATACAAAATAAATACATTGTTAGATATATATATATATATAATACTTTCTAAAATAAATTTAGAATCAAATTTTTTATTTTCAATCCATATAACAACATAAAAATAGACACATAAATATAGTAAAAGAAGATGAGAGAATGATTACTTATAAGATGATAATCTAAAATAGATAAATACATCTTTGAAAAAAAAACTAATGTAAGATATATAGCATATCGTTTCTAAAATTAAAATTTAGAATTAAGCGTTTACAATAATATTTAAATATTTTATTAATATATAAATGAACAATGAGAGGATGAGACAATGAGAAAATGAGTATTTATAAGAAGAGAAGTGAGAAAAGTTACAATTAAAAAAATAAATTATGGGAGTTACAATTCTAATTTATTGTGTGTTGAATAAAATTAAGTGGAGAAATCTAGTTTTTTTTTTGTCATCCGAAATTAATTCGAGCTCAAAAGAGCCATTCCTGAGGAATGTTGTTTACATATGTGATATGAAGCGGTTCTGTACGAACTTTTCGTGCCAGTTTATCCGCTTTGACATTAACCCTACGAGAAATTAAAGATAAAGAAAAAAATGAAAACTCCCCCTTGTCGCTCTGAAATTCCTCCAAATACACTGAAAACGCTGGTCATTCGGTTGGAGAAGACACCATCTTCACCAGGTCTGAACAGTCTGTAAAGAACGCTACCTCTTGATTATCTGCACCAATCATACACTTCATCGCCCAGAGAAGGGCCTCGACTTCGGCATGTAGGGGAGATAGACTTCTACGGAGGTTCGCAGCTCCCATGGTTGGCGGCTCTCCATTTAACGATGTACAGAACCATCCTGTACCGGAGAACTTATCACTTCCTTTCCATGATCCATCCACAAAACAACGGTATCCAGAATAATTCGACTCAAGTGAAGTATCCCTCACTCGAGTTTGATTTACCAAGTCCACAGAACCATGACTTTCATTATGGAACTCAATTTGAGCTGTTTGCCATAATTGTGCCTCTTTTTCCGCTAATCGTAATACCTCTATAGGTTCTTTATCTATATTTTCAAAGATATTTTCGTTCCTTGCTTTCTAAATATACCAAATAATCCATGGAAAAGCTGATGAATCAAATTCTGAAGGTATTCTCCAAAATAAGTGATCTAAATTCGCAAAATTAGATTCCGTGGGAAAAATTCCCATAGCCGTAGGAATTTGTGAAAGCGCCCAAATCTGCCGTGCAGGTGGCACTGAAAGAGTGTATGATTAATTGTTTCCTCTGATGCGCCACATCTGGCACATCCCGTGTCACAATCAATTCCTCTTTTTCGCAAATTTTCTGTAACCGGTATACAACCCGTTAAGATTTGCCACAAGAAATGGCGTATCTTAGGTGGACAATGCACTTGCCAAGAATTTGCTTTTAGCGGGTTGATGTCAGGGCCAAAAAGGGTAAATTGGTCTCCGACTTTTCCATCCGTGTGGTATGATATCCCGATTTGACTGTATATTTTCCGGATTTTGTAAAATGCCAACCAAAAGAATCCTCTTTTGTTGGCGCACCCACACGTATGGCGCTTATTAGCGCGACATCCTCTGTATCAAAGATCGCTTTTAAGAGATCAATATTCCAAAAGTTCGACCGACTATCTATAAGGTCGTTAACTTTTAAAGATGGGTCAACAACTGAACCATTACTTTTTGCTGGTCTCGGGAATTGAGCTGGAATCCAGGGATCCTCCCAAACCGAGATGGATGTCCCAGATCCGACTCTTTTAATAAGTCCTTTATTAACCAGAGATCTAGCTGAACATATACTCCGCCATCCATATGATGGAGAATATGATTTTATATTTTCCAAAGGATTGGATTTCCTAAAATACCGTCCTTTAAACACCTTTGCGAAAAGAGAATCTGAAACCGTGATCAACCGCCATAATTGTTTTGCTAGTAAAGCTGAATTAAAATCGTCAACGTTCCGAAATCCTAATCCCCCTTCCGATTTGCTATTGCACAATTTATTCCAAGCCATCCAGTGCATACCTCTAGAATCACCATTTGAACTCCACCAAAAATTAGCAACCGCGCTAGTAAGTTTAGAAGTGATAGTTTTTGGAAGTCTGAAGCACGACATAACATAAGTTGGTAATGCTGCAGCTACCGATTTAATCATCACTTCTTTTCCCCCTTTTGATAAAAATTTAGCCGACCATCCGTTAATCCTTGTTTGTATTCTATCTCTGACAAAAGAGAAGATTTTGTCTTGGAACCCCCTAAACTCTCCGGCAATCCAAGATAAGAACCCATACCACCGATATTAGTGATACCTAAGGTATATTTGATTTATATGGAGAAATCTAGTTAATGCATAATTTATATGATTTCAGTTTTATATTAAAGTGTGAGTTAAATGTACATGGTTAAATGTGTTTTATTTGTGGTTGTATTGAAAAGATTTTTCTTTTAAGTTACATTACCAAGTGGTTTAATTATATATGATTAAATATGTTTTATTTGTGGTTTAATTGAAAATATATTTTTAAAAAAGTTAAATTGCCAATTGGACCAATAAGAAGAGAATGAAACCTTAATTTTATATGTATGATTTGTTGTTTTGTATATGCAACCTAATGGAATGTTTTACCATTCCTAACTAAGATTTTCTTTCTATGACAATATTTGCTGGTGGACATTGGACGATTAAAAATATAAATCTTGTTTTTCTATAAAAAAAAACTTCGTTTAAGCTATATAAATATTTTTTTATTAAAACAGAAATACATTTATTCTATAAAATATTAACATGTTAATTCTCACTAATCATAATAGAAGTAGTATAACATGTTAATTCCAAGACCGTTGGCTATTTTTTTTTTCTAGACTCCAATCAAATGACGATATAATGGTGAAGGCTGAGGAGCACTATGTATAGGTTTATGTAGGGATGAGGAGAATCATAATCCACATAATTCCAAGACCGTTCGATATTTTTTTCCTCGACTCCGATCCAATGACGATGTCCTGGTGAAGGCTGATGAGGATTATGATGAGGCGCATTATGTAAAAGATCCGGACCTGTTGGGATCTTTCTCTCGACTCCAATCAAAGATGGGACTTCAAGAATAGCAGCCACCGACGACGTTATTAGGAAAAAGATTAGTGTATTGAAATCCGGCCCGTCACACATACCCAAGATACAAATGTATTGGACTTCCAAATTTTTAAAGATTTTTAGTGCTAAAATTAGGCCTCAAAAATAATTTTTATTATAAAAATAGACCTCATTTTTTCTAACTTTTAAGATTTAGTCTCAAATTTTGAATTTTATCTATTTGTTATTGCAAAAATAAGCCTTATTTTCTGAAAATTTAAGAGTTGGTCTCATTTTTAAATTTTATCTACAAAATCCATTAAAAAAAATTCTTGTTTCTTTGTAAACTTTTTTTTAGTTGACTACTATTGGTTCCTCCTTTTTCTTTTTATAGTGAAATTTGTTAATGCTAATTAAGGGAAGCTAATCTAATGTCAAATGCAATTGAGTATATTAGAAGATATGTACGTGACACTTTTATAAGAACACAAGTTGTTCAACTAAAGAAAATATTTTTTAATGAAAAAAAACACGTTTTCCCGAAATATTTCATGGTAACAAAATCTCATTCTTGAAGTTGTTATTTATTTATTTGACCAAAAATTAATTGTGTTCCGGACTGAAATTTAGTTTCAATTTTTCGTTTTGACTTCTTCCTAAGGTTATTCAAAGGTTATTCTTCTTGTAAGTTAGGACATTTATTTAGATTTTCTCTTAAGAAAATGAATTTTATGCTATTAAAAATAGAAGTTGTCAAAACTAAACTTACGAAAATTATTGACACCAAATGAACTGAGATTTATATTTTTTTTATTAAACTAATGTATTTCATATTTTTTTCTGGTTTGACTAATTATAACCATTTGGTTCAATAATATACTATAATATATCTCTATCATATTTATCCATGCTTAACACTTTACTCGATTTCATACGTTTACCAAAATGTTATTCAGTCACAGATTAAGAGAAACAAAACAAGAATGATTCAAATTATTTGATTATCAAAGAACGTTGACAATACTAAATTAAATAAAAAATAAAAAAATTGATTTTATTTATTCTGTTTAAAAACTATTAAGAAAATAAGTTAAATATCCAAAAGAAAAAAGTTACATGTAGCTCGTTTCTCATGACAATTGTACTAGCTCCGTAGCTCGTATAGCTTATGTAGCTACAAAATATTTTTTGCCTATAGATTACGAATGCAACGGATCCATTACGCTACGAAATGGAGGTGATCAATTATGCCATTTGTGTCATCTGACGCTTCATTTTGTAAAGGAACCAGCAGTCTTCTAATCAAAAGTGTGTTTGTAAGAAAAGAATTACGACTTTAATAAAAAAAATTTAACTTCATTTCTGAGAGAAAAATATATAAAATCTATATGCGTGTTTGCATAATTGAATTCGTCTTGTTGCTTGTGGTCCATTACGCTATTAGCATGGGTTTTTTTTTGTGCCTGCTTATGTTGTTTGCATATATATTTATCTGAGGTCCATTTTTCTTTAATTGGAGAAAAACTTACATGTTTTTTGTATCTGTCGCAAAAAACAATCTGTAGCAAAAAATCTATCGTACATAAATAACTCTGTCGTGAAAAATAAATTTGTCACAACTAACCCAGATGACTCTTCAAATAACTTTTTTTCCAATATTTTTTCCCCCACTTTATTTTTAATAAATTTAAGGATAATTTTGAATTTTTTTCTAACAAAGAGAGAAATTAAGAGTATTATAGTCATGAAAATAACTCATCTAACCCCCAAATTTTTTGAAATACTCTAGTAATTAAACTCATAATTTGGGTTAATCTAGTAACTTTCCCTAAAAAATAATACGATCCAAAGCTTTCGATTACACAATTTGGTCTTTTCTAGTTTTTTCATGTTCTTTAAGTTCTGAATTTTGGTTGTTAACTGAATTTTGTTAGATTCAAAGATGATTGCTTTCCCTACAAACTCATAAAATGCACAAATTGTTTCAAATGGGTTTACAGTAATGAAGTCAATAATGCCTTCAAACAAATCAAATTATCCCTTTTCCCAAAAATTTCTAGCAAACCATGGTGTTTCACTTTTCTTAATCTAGTTCTTCACATGATCACTCATTGATTTCCTTCATCTTTTTTGTACTCACATCCTCAATTTTCTCCAAAGAAGAATTCATCGTCGAGCTCTCCGATAGAACCACCACATAACTCGAGTTGGTGTTTATTGTTTTATCCAGAGAGTTTTCACACGACAACGGTTTGAGTCAGGTTTTCCAAAACATGTTATTTATACGACTTTTTAACAGGTGATTCGTATTCCTCATCGAAAGAGTTGGACTCTTCGCCCGATAAACATTATTCCTCTTTGGACGAAGCAGACTATTAATAAATTGTTAACTTAATAATTCTGATAAATTGATAACTTTTTTACTTTGGATAAACTAATAAAGTATTAAATATATACATAAATTTTTAATTTTTGATAAATTTATATCGTCACTATTTTTTTATGACGGGATTCAGGGACAATGATAACTCTTGTTTTCTGTCGATCACAAGTTTATCGCCTCCGACAAGTGGTCCTAGTAATCTATACTATTAATTGGGAAGCATTCCCTAATAATAAACCTTATAAAGTGTAAAAAATTACAAAGGAATGCCATTACAATTTTTTTATTACACGACAAAATAAAAGATTTCGTAAAAGGGGTAAAATTGAAAATTGGCTATGCTGGGACGCGGATCTTGGATCCTCTACTCGGGTCCTCTTTCTTTAAAAAACGCTGACCCAATTCCAATGAGAAAACTTCCTATTGGGCTTACGAGATAATTAGGCCCATACTGAATCTCTTGAGTTTGAGTGTTGGAATCTGGAGTAATTAATACCAAATAAAAACATTAACAATACAAATCAAGCATTACCATAACAAGTATCTCAATCGATATAATAACAAATCAAGCATATTCCTTACCTATTCTAAATCGAGAATATGTTAGCAATTAATTTTTTGAATAATTAGACTCAATTCTCGCAAAGATCTTTCCATATCAACGCAAACTATGAATGTGATTTTAAAAATATCTCTTGACACGGAAAAATCAATGCAAAACTCAATCATTGGTATTTCCCTATATTGAAAGATATAGAATTCTAACTTATTAGATTTCTCTTATTAGTTTTTATTTAAAATCACACAATCTCTTCAATCCATATTCAGTTCGAGATTATACCCAAAAAAATCATAAATAATATACAAAACAATAAAATCAAAAATGATATGCAAAAAATCGCCCAAAATCAAGCATATACCTTTAAGATTCTAATTCGAAATTATCTTATACCACCTAAATTCTCAAAACCCTAATAAAATTAAAAGCTCCATGCGATTACTATAAATATCGGTAGCTGCATTCTAAAGAACTCACCTTTTAAAGTTTTACCATTACCACTTCACGATTTCTCTAAGAAAATGGCAGCTGAGCAAGCATTCACCGATCTTGCTGACATAAAGCTTTTCAAAACACAATGGAGAATTCAAGTTAAGATTGTGCATTCGTGGACACAATACACTCAATTCACATGGGAAACAGTTGAAATGATTCTTGCTGATACATCTGTAAGTAAAAAAAATCTCATTTTTCTTTTCAAATAAACGTTTATCAATCATCAATGTCACTGGATGTTTAACATGAGTTCTTTTTATCTGTTGCCAGGGTACTTTGATTCATGCTACTATTAAGAAGTTGTGTAACAATAGCTAAATATTATTATGGAATAAACAAAAGTTGAATGTTCAACAACTCACTAACCTTATTGTTGCTGCAGTTTTTTTGCAAGGCTCCAAAACGACATCAGAATTGACTCTTTCAAAAGAATTGAACTTGATAATTACGCTTTCCCTGTACAATTATAACTTTCTATCATCACCACCATTTATTTAAAAACATTGTTTGTTAAGTAATAATCGTATGAACAACTTATCTTTGTCCATCATCTTCTTTTGGCAACATCATCATTTATGTTATTATCTGAAATCAATTTAGGAAAAAATATAGATGTTAATATATTTCAGGAAACAAAATCGATTGTTCAAATCTATATACAAACCAATTTTGAAATCTATACAATCATGGCTCTGAAGATATATGTAGATAGATTTAATTACTTTGTTAAATTTCAAAAAGACAGTAGATGAATTTGTGATTTGTTTATAAAAATTATTGAAATCAAAATTATTTGGATTGAAACTTACTCATACAAGCTCGGGTTCTTCACAGTCATCGCCCAATGAATCTATTCAAACAGAGAATTTGACAAACTGGAAATCAAATAGAAAAAATTGAAAAAAAAAAACGTTCTCTAAAATTGAATCAATCAAAATCTTACATGTTTCTTAATTCGGAATCTGCGGTAGAAACTTGATAAACAGCAATGAAAAAGCTTGATCTAAGCAATATTTCGTTATTGATTTTCAAATCGAAGATTAGTATGAGAGTTTTCTGGGTTTGGTGTTTCATCTCACCGATAAAGAAAATAATTTTTGTGTAGAAAATTATCTGTCTAAAAATGAAAAAAAAAAAAAAAACAGTAATATATCAACAGGATCACAATGTATTTAGGCCCAAGATTAAATATTAACGGATTCGCAAATGGGCCAATATATTTTTTATGTGGCCCAAACGTAAAACTTAATTATATATATATCAAATTACAAACAAACAATTACATAAAATATTTTTACATATCTAACTTATCTTTTTATTCAAATTTTAAAACCAATTTAACATAAAACAAATTGCTTTATGAAATTTATTTAAAACATAAAAAAATTTAAAATACATTTATATTTCAAAAATTATTCTATCTATTTTATTATCTGATACCGAAATTTTTTTTAAAAAAATACAATAGTTACATACCACAAAAACACATATTTATTGACGACATATGTTATACAACACATTTTTAAAATCTGAGATCCCACGCGAACGTTAAAAACAAACTATGTTCTGGTACGTGTGAAACCACACATATAATGTATCTATTCAAACCAAATATTCACAAATGAAATTATAAACAAAAAACAACTCTATACATAAATAAAAAAAAACCACAAATATGACCCCGCACGTAGGTGCGGATCCGGATCTAGTACGATATTCTATACAAGAAGTTCAACGTATTGCCGTACTTCCACTGTGTATTTTACATTTTTTTAAATTTGGTCTAAAATAATTATTTTTAAATTTGATATTTATTTATTGAAATTTAATTTTTAGTTTTTCTCATTTTTAATTTATGATTATATTTAATCAAACATTTTTCATTTTTCATTTCAAATTTTTAAAATATTATATTATTTTTCCTTATAAATCTATAGTATATTTGCTTTGGATTTACGAAACATGTTTAACTATTCTATCGCAAATCCGTAGCACTTTTGCAACGGAATTGCAAATATTTTCAACAAAGGTTTACAAAACGTTCTCGCAAATCCTGCTATGAGTTTGCGACATAAATCTTTCGATGGTTTTCTTAAACCAACCGCAACCGCCTGCAACGGCAAACGCTTGCGGGAAGGATCTTTTGAAATCCAGCGATTTTGAGTGGTCCGAAGCGGTATAAACGGTTTCTACGATTGATACCAACCGCTAACAACCGCAACCAACCGCTAACAACTGCTAGATGGGTGCTAGCGGTAGAACCAATCAAGTCCTTACTCACAATACCATCGTATATTTTGCGATGGAATTACGAAAATATTTTTGCGATAGATCTGAACTTGCGACAACATGATATTGGTTTCTAACATATATCTCTTGTTTCATGCTATTACTGAGAGAATTACTATAAAAATTTCCTTGCAAATAACCTGTATTGTTTGTGACTTCCATTCCTTATTTTGCGACAGACCTTGCAGTTATACATTATCTTGGTATGAATGTTACGTGATATACTCTTTTAACACCCAACAAGTAACAAATTTTTGTTTTCAATAAAGTAATAAAATAATGTCTTGCACTGATTTGAAAAAGTTGAATCATTTAGGATTTTTGACAGGTCTCACTCACACTACCATATTCATCATCATTCCCTAATTTATTACAAACACAATTATTAGCCAACCTAAAAAAATAGGCATTGTTCTATATGAAAAATTCTATAGTTAGAAGTTAGAAGTTAGAAGTTAGAAATTAGAAAGTTTTTCTTTTCTTTTCTTATAGATCTTGCAGAGAGCCATGTGCATGGGGAATCAGCTTCACCTGGTTTTTTCTTATACACATAGACAAAGTTTTATTTTCTCCCATAAAAAGTAATAATAATATAATAGTGAAAAACTAAAAATAAAAAGATAAAAGGACTTTAAATCATCATGATTCATGAGACAGCAACGAAAGATACATGTAGCATTTTGCTAAAAACAGACACATCAAATTTGTATAAATTTACATATTAATTGTATCTACATATATTTCATATTATATATAGAAAAATATTCATATTATAATATCGTTATTTGTCTGTATATCTTTGTTGACGGGTCGTTTAGTCGAGAGTCGAGACTTCTTTATGAAATTTTGTTTTAACACCTGTATGCTTTTTATATATAGAAACATGTCTAAAATTTTGTTTTAACACCTGTATGCTTTTATAATAATCTTTCTCTACATATTATAATATTTTTATGCTTTTTTGTGTGTTATCTAAGAATCATTTGCCAATCTTTTTCACAACTTTTGCACTCTTATGCCATTGACAGCCTAGAACCCTCGATGTGTGATCTCTAAAATACAACCAATTAAATTGTTTAGTTATTATTTTTGTGAACTACCGAATATTAATATAGAATAAAAAAAATCTCTTTCACCTATAATTAATTTTTTGTATGCTGCCTTATCAACTTTCAAGTCATAATTAATTTTCCTCATTTACTTACTCGGAAACAAAAGGTTCAGATCGGTTTAACTGGCACAAGGATTCTACTTCTTTGGGTAATTGAATTTCTTGATTAAAGTCCAAATTGAGACTTACAAGTAACAACAACTTTTACATATTTCATATAAAAAATACCACTAAATAACCATGATTTGTGTTTTTTTTACGAAATTAGTGAACTGTATATTTTTATTAATACTGTAATTTTTTTTCCTGTGTGATTTTTAAAATGGTGTGGATTATGAATTTTATTTAGCACAAAAAATAATGTGAATTCTGCGTATAATTTTAAACTATGTCATGCTATTATATCCCATAAACATTATTTTGAAAATTATGCGCACTAACAAACACAATTATTTACGGAAATTTCACCTTATATATATATAATTTACTAAAATACAAAAAAAAAAAAGCAAAATTGAGATATTTTTTTGCAATTTAATTTATAACAAATGAACAACTAGTCTAAAACTAAACAATACAACTTTTACCAATATGAAAAAGCAATACTTTAGATATATATTGCTTTTTTTTTTTGGGAGCAAATTATACTTTTTGCTTTTTTAGTTCACCATTTCTTTTGTGTGAAGCATTTGACAAAATCCAACTCACACTACGTACTCAATATATCAACAATAACCTTTATTATTATTTTCGAATAAACGTTATCTCAATCCTATGATAAAATTAAAATTAATGAATTCAAAAACTCCAAAAATATATATATATATATATATATATTTTTTTAAATGTATCTAATCTGTTACCAAACTGTCATTGGCTTAGTGGGACAGACATCCCATGTGCAGTCTCCTTGGCTTCTGCTTCTTAGTTTCATCTTCTTCTTCTTCTTCTTCTTCCTTCTCTCTCACTGGCCCATCTTCCCATTTCCTCAAAGCTTCAAACTTTATTCACACTTCTCTCTCTATCTCTCTGTTTCCTCTTCTTCCTCTGTTTCTTCAAGCTATGAAGAAAAGAAGAACCTTTCTCACGTTTTCGTTTACCTTTCTTCTTTTACTTCTTGATTTCTCCAAATCTGACTCTGATGGAGATCTCTCAGCGATGATATCACTCAAGAAAAGCTTAAACCCACCCAGTTCTTTCGGTTGGTCTGACCCAGACCCGTGTAAATGGACTCACATCGTTTGTACTGGAACAAAACGTGTGACCCGGATCCAAATCGGGCATTCGGGTCTTCAAGGTACACTTTCTCCTGATCTACGTAACTTATCAGAGCTTGAAAGACTTGAGCTTCAATGGAACAACATCTCTGGTCCTGTTCCTTCTTTAAGTGGTTTAGCTTCATTACAAGTCTTGATGTTAAGTAATAACAACTTTGATTCAATCCCTAGTGATGTCTTTGAAGGCTTAACTTCGTTACAATCTGTAGAAATTGATAACAATCCTTTTAAAGCTTGGGAGATTCCAGAGAGTTTGAGAAATGCTTCTGCTCTTCAGAATTTCTCGGCGAATTCGGCTAATGTTTCCGGTAAATTACCCGGTTTTTTCGGACCGGATGAGTTTCCGGGGTTGTCGATTTTGCATTTGGCTTTCAATAGCTTAGGAGGTGAATTGCCTTTGAGTTTAGCTGGCTCGCAGGTTCAGTCATTGTGGCTTAATGGTCAGAAACTAACCGGTGAGATTAATGTTCTTCAGAATATGACTGGTTTGAAAGAGGTTTGGCTTCATTCCAACGTGTTTTCGGGTCCTTTACCGGACTTTTCGGGTCTTAAGGAGCTTGAGAGCTTGAGTTTGAGGGATAACGCGTTCACGGGTCCGGTTCCTACGTCTTTGTTAAGTCTTGAGTCGCTTAAAGTTCTGAACTTGACGAATAATCATCTTCAAGGACCAGTTCCTGTGTTTAAGAGCTCGGTTTCGGTTGATTTGGATAAAGATTCGAATAGCTTTTGCTTGCCTAGTCCTGATGAGTGTGATTCTAGAGTGAAGTCTTTGCTTTTGATAGCTAGTTCATTTGATTATCCGCAGCGGCTCGCTGAGAGTTGGAAAGGAAATGATCCTTGCACGAATTGGATTGGGATAGCTTGTAGCAATGGGAACATTACTGTTATTAATCTTGAGAAAATGGGTCTAACCGGGACGATTTCTCCCGAGTTTGGATCCATTAAATCGCTTCAAAGAATCATTCTTGGTATCAACAATCTTACGGGTACGATTCCTCAAGAGCTTACAACGTTACCAAATCTCAAAACACTCGATGTTTCGAGTAACAAGCTTTTCGGGAAGGTCCCAGGTTTTAGAAGCAATGTGGTTGTGAGTACTAATGGTAATCCTGACATTGGAAAGGATAAAAGCTCTTTGCCTTCTCCCGGTTCTTCTTCGCCTTCAGGTGGTTCGGGTTCAGGAATCAACGGTGATAAGGACAGGAGAGGAATGAAGTCTTCGACTTTTATAGGTATCGTTGTTGGTTCAGTTCTTGGAGGTCTATTATCAATCTTCATGATTGGTTTATTAGTATTCTGTTGGTACAAGAAGAGGCAAAAGTGTAACACAAGAGGTGAGAGCTCAAATGCAGTAGTGGTGCATCCGCGACACTCGGGATCTGACAATGAAAGCGTTAAGATCACAGTTGCGGGTTCA